TCCCTGGTTGAAAATAGACCTGTGCTTTGGGATAAAACTTCAGAAAGATACAAAATTAAACAGCTTAATTTTACGGCATGGATGGACATCTGCAAAATGATACATCCAAGTTTTGATACATTATCTGATAAAGAAAAAAACGAATTTGGTAAGTTTACATTAATTATTTATTCATTATTATTTATTATTTATTATACAAATATAATATTTTTCCCTATTTTCGTTAAATATACTGATTCTGCCACGGTAATCTCCCTTCTGGTGACACAAAGTACTCAGCAAATTTATTTCTAATCATATTTGATGTTAAGCTACCTCTTACCGAATTTGAACGAGGTAATTGGCGTAGATCGGAGTTTAGATCTTCAGTAGTTAAATCGCTAGATATACTATTAATAATTCCCTCTTCTTTGTGAATAAAATTTTGCAACAAACAACAAGTCTTTACTATATCAACTGCTAAATCCGTAGATACATTTAATGGTTGATGTAAAATTCGCCATTTATTCGCCATTATAACAAATGTACATTCAACATACCGTCTTGTCAAACGGTAGTTGAATGTACTTTTTAATTCATCGAGTTGATGACCATCAAACGGTCGAAGTACATGTTCATGTATGGCAAATGCTTCATTACCAACGAATACGTATGGTATCACAATCAGTTCCTAGTTTATTTGTAGATGATGGTGTGTTCAATCTATCATTTAATAAGTTTTTCCAAAATTGTGTTTGTTTGAATACCACTGAATCACATTCTTTCCCGTATGCACCAACATCGATAAAAATATAATTATAGTTAGTGTCTGCCACGGCCATTAGTACGATGGAAAAGTAGTGTTTGTAGTTTAAAAACATTGATCCACTTTGTTCGGGTTTTATGACTCTAATATGCTTACCGTCTATGGATCCTAAGCATAGAGGAAAATTTGCAGCACTTTCAAAATTATTGGCTATCATTAACCAGTCGTCCTTGGATGGAATTTTCATATATATATTACACAATTCAGTCCATATTGTTGTACATACTTCTCGAACGATATAGCTTATTGTTTTTATTCGGATTCTAAATGTGTATTGAAGATCTGTAAATGTACTTCCTGATGGCAAGAACCTGTAAAAATAAATATTTTTAAGTTTTAATCTATTTGTTTTTAATATTAGGAAAAAATGTTATAAAAAAATGGAATAATGAAAGAGATAATTGGATGAGATGTGATAAAAAAATTAAAGAGTACAACAAGTCAGGTTCAGCAGCGAAACCTGTTCAAAAATACAAATTTTATGAGCAAATGCAGTTTTTAAATAAAATTGTAGGTCATCGACCAACAGAAACAAATATGCCACATGCTGAAGACGTCGAAGAAAACCCAATTACATCTGAAAGTCCAGTTCCAAAAAAGAAAATGAAGAAACATTTAACAGAAAAAGATCAGTTGGAAAGAAGAATAACGAGATTAGTCGATTCTGTAGAAAAAGATGATCAAAGTAGAATTATGTCTTTTTTTAGTGGAATTGCGCCGACCATTGAAAAATTTAATGATGCCGATATAGTTGAGTTTCAGTATGAGGTCATAAAAGCCATGAGAAACATAACTCAAAAAACTCAGACGCCATATTTACAGCATGGTGTACCAAGAAATTATTATCAAAATCTAAGTCAACCCGCGCAATTTCATTTATCACATCCAGCTAATGTTGCACCGAACATTAATGAAGATCCACGTGGCATATATCGTAATTATAATGTAAATGAATCAAACAAAGTCCATCAATATAAGACACCAAATGGTAAAAGGAGCTTTTCTTCGACTGCTGAACCTTCGCCAGAATCAATCCGACTGCTGAACCTTCGCCAGAATCAATCGACAGTCTATCGCCAGAATCAATCGACAGTCTAG